TCATTCCACAGTCACTTATGGAACGGCAAAAGATGCTTCAAAACGGTCATAATTTGATGACCGCTTTTATTTTTGAAATTTACAGAGAAACACGTTTAAGTGCCTGCAATTTATGACTTTAGAGTTTACCAATGGGTCTTACTTTATTGAAAATCGTACTATCTGTTCATTGGGCTGCTTATTTGCAGGGTCAAAAACTGTATTGCCATGCTTTTCCTGCATTTTTGAAAAAGGATGTGGCCAGACGAGAAACGTCTCAGCGAAGGTCTAATGACACTAGACAGAAGAATAGAAGAAATTTATGGGAATAAGTCGTTTTGAACAAGCTTTAGTTGAATCAGAAGTATTATTGCACCCAAGTTCTTAGAGACCTCCAAAAGCATAAATTTTACGAACAACAAGATCATACTACCCAAGTTTTCAATGAGACCGGTTTTGACCAAATTCTCAAACAAAGAACGTTGCTTTCATATGCGTTTCTAGTCTTAAACATGTTTGTCGATGAAAATCTCTTATACAATATTCGAGGCAGTCCAAAAACGTCAATGAAAACTGCTGTTTTGATCGAAGATACCGCCAGAACCGATCTAATCAAAGAGTTGTCTAGTTTGTTCCTTTCTTTCGTAAAATTTGGACTTTACGAGATTTATCTACTTGGGAAACCAGTAGAAAATTGTCCGAATGCTAGCTTAGACTAAAAGGTAAGTAAAATATCAAACAAAATCTGAGAATTTATGAGTGGATGAATAGTTTGGGTGTGGGCTATTGAGGCAGTGGCTGATTTCCAAGTATTCCGAATTCTTGAAAATCTCAGATATTTTGAAGCGTATTAAATTATTGTAAACCGTATGGGTCTTGCAAGCTCTGAAAACTATCACAGTTTTGAAATTTGTGGAAAAATCGAAAATATATGAAACGAATGAAACTTTTTTTTATCCGTTTCAGTACAAGACAGTGTGTCAGAGCTCTCATCAGTGGGTATCACATCACATAAGAATACCACAAAACATGGATCAGAAGGTGTCGCTACACCGTTTGAAGATGCAATGGTCACATTGATGAGCTCAAAGTAGAGATGTATTAGACCAGCATTTTTGGGTCCCAATCACGACTACGGTTTCGATTCCACGAAAATCAACAACTTGAGAAAAGTTGTTGGAGTTTGTAAGTAGCTTCCATGTCATATTGGTATCTTGTAGCACTATTTTGTTTGTACGCTGAGAGGCCCAATTCCTTTATCTGTTTTTGCTGTAAGATGAAAGATTCTCATTCTTGTTTATGATTTATATTTCATTCTCTCGTGTTGACAAAAGAAGATATTGTTGAGCTGTTAAAAAGACGAGACTGTGGCTGCGGGTCAATCTTCTATTCATTCGTACTCAGATATACGCATACACACACTTACAAGAACACATCCACTCATCTACTTCTTATTGATATTCGGACCGATCATATTCTTCTTTATTCCTTCACATAGAGCTAAAACAGTTGTAAACATAGATGTACTGTCAGCCTTAACATGACTATTAGCTACTTTCCTAGTTTTGATTGCCTGGTGCCTTCGGCCATGTACACTTTTCGAATTGCCATAGATCGTGAATGTTCAATTTCTTTAACGTTAGTAAAGTCACGGAATATACACGAAATAGTAACGCTCTTTTAACGAAAACGACACCAACATTAGTGAATGTAGAACAATAAACCAGTTGAAACATCGCTATGATATATTTCACTCGGCACTGCACTGCGTACTCGTCTAAAGAAGATGGTAGGCAATTATGCTTTATTCGACATATTCGTCTTGATAGAAGGCTTATATATTTGAACATATTGATGGTGAGTGACTAATCCTCATAAGAAGCTCCATTGAGCATTTTTCAGGGAATGACAAATGTGCCACACATTGTTCGTACCTGAATAGGCAAAGAAGTCCTTTTTCTCTATTAACAAAAGAGAAGAGACCAGCCACTACGTTGAGCTTCGAATGGGATCAAACGTCAGCTATAGAAGCAGTGCGTCTCTTCGAAGATTATATTTCAGGTTTTAGCAGTGAAAAAATTAGAATGATGGAATTCGAGAATATGTGTGTGGGTATAGGTGTGGATGGCTTTCTTTGTACAACCACACACCCACACCCAACCAATGTATATTTATATATAAACTCATGTTTCATTTTTCAATAGCTTGATATCTTTCTTAGTGTCATTAGACTCATTGGATTTTCACTTTTCTAAAACTGATCCGTTATTGTTTAGAAACTATTCCAGCTGCTGCATCAAATTATACATCAGCATCTGTGCAAGCAAAAGTAGATCGAAATAGTTCATTTGGCACATTGTTCTTGACAAATATAGAAACTTGAAATATTGCTTTCCAGTGACAAAGTAGGCGATCAAAACAATTATGAGAACAATTCATTTGCTATGTTGTCTTCGATGAGTACAAAAACTCCAAGTCTCACTCCGTGTGGAACGAAAATAAATGAATGTGTCCATTGTCACAGCGATTCATATATCTAGTGATCTTTGCACAGATAATAGTTCAGATCTTGTTGTACAGTGAACAAAATAGGCGAACAAAAATTTGGCGGCAATTACAACTATTCATTTGTCACGCGATTTTCGATCAACATAATAATTTGTGATATTTTCTTCCAAGTAACTGTGATAAGTAAACAGAACTGTGCTAGAAAGTATTCTTTTAATGTGCGATTATATTTGGTTAAATTGATGGTACATGTCGACATTAAAGTGAGAAAAATTAGTGTAAAGAATCGTTGTAAAAAATGTTGTAGCCATTTATTTATCTAACGATCCGCTCTGCGTCGACTGATTCGAAGCTATTTGTTCGCAGAAGTTAATATAGATGAATAAATCCTTGGTAATTGCCGTTGCAATAGTAGATTTGCCATATGATCTATCATTGACTTGTCTGCTAAAAGTCTTTATTTTACAGTAAGTTAAGTAGTTGAGGGTTGCTTTGATCATAATCATTCAATTTCATAGGTGATAATCTTTATACTTACCGCTACGACAAATTCACTTGGAATCGTGTGAAATAATTGGAGAAGTTCTTTGGCGTTGGGACGAAAATCATTCATGGTTGATCATCATTCATCTCGTTTGGGATTCACCATGAGTTTCTACAATGATAATCTTAACTGGGAAATGAACACAGTTGATGAACACGACATCCGTATGAATAATTCATTTCGCACATAGTTTGGAATCAGTTTTACACCGCAATACATCTACTCCGCAAAATGCAAAATAGACGATCCGAATTATGTTGGCAACCATTCGTCAACTATATGACTTAAGAAGAGTTGAATAACTCGAAGCTTTGCTTCGACATGATCAAGACAGATGAACATCACTCTCCTGGAAGTTATTTGATTACTATGTAGATTCCGATCGACTTTTCAGTTCATGGACGGTGCTTCGAAATGAACAAAATAAATGAATAAAATGTTGATTATGACAATTCATCTTGCTGCGCAACATCCGATCAACATGCAATTCGAAAGTGACACTTTAAAGTGGGCATGACTGGTGAATCAAGCCATGCAACCTGTCGTCATGACAATTCATTTGTCATGTAATGTTCTATCAACTTACCAACTTCAAATCTTTGCTCAGAAGTGAACAAAATGCGTGAACAGAACCTTCATTATGATAATTCATTGGCCATATGATCTTCGGTAAGCTTACCAACTCGAAACCTTTGCTTCGAAGAGAGTAAAATAGGTGAATAGAACCGAAACACAGTGAGAATTCACTTGTCATGTGATTTTCGATCAGCTTACTGACTCGAAATCTTTGCTTCGAAGCGAGGAAAACAGTTGAACAGAACTTGCTCATGCAAAATCATTTATCATGTGATCTTCAATCAGTTTACCAACTCGAAACCTTTGTTCCAAAGTGAGGAAAATAGGTGAACAAAGCCATTGGCCTGATGATATTTGATTTGCCATGTGATTGTCGATCAGCTTACCAGCTCGAAACCTTTGTTTCGAAATCAGCATAATAACTGAACAGAACCATTGGGATGATGTGGCATGATTTTCCATACGATCGTTGATCAGCTTACCAACTCAAAACCTTGGCTTCGAAATCAGGAAAATAAGTGAACAGAACAATTGGACTGATGAAACTTGATTTGTCATGTGATTGTTGATCAGCTTACCCACTCGAAAACTTTGCTTCGATTTGAGCAAAACACGTGAACAGAACAATTATTGGAATGATGAGACTTGATTTGTCATGTGATCGTTGATCAGCTTATCCACTCGAAAACTTTGCTTCAACGTGAGCAAAATAGATGAGCACTACCTTCATTACGAGAATTTATTGGTGATGTAATCTTCGATCAGTCTAACAACAGGAAATCTTTATATCGAAATCAGGGAAATAGGTAAACAGAGCTTGCTGATAAGAATTCATTTATCATGGAATCTTCAGTCAGCTTACCAACTGCAAACTCTTCTTTCGAAGTGAGCAAAATAAGTTAACAGGGTCTTTTTGTTGACAATTCATTTACCGTATGATCTCCAATCAGCTTACAAACTCAAAACCTTTGCTACAAACCGAGCAAAATAGGTGAACAGAACAATTATTATGAGAATTCATTTACCATCTGATCTACAATTAGCGTACCAACGCGAAACCTTTGCTTCGAAGCGAGCAAAATAGGTGTACTAGAACATCGTTGTCGCTGTAAGGAATGAGTTAAGTAAAAATAAATAGATTGAAAAATGAAGAAAAGGGTGTGTGGGTGTGTGATGCAAATGAAATAAAGACTAGTAAATATCGGCAGTTTGAGCTATTCAATACTGTTCACAAAAAAGGTATGATACAATAGCGCTATAAATGAGAAAAAATTTCTTTTATATGAACATCCAAATGGTTTCATACTAGAATGTATGTATATATTATCTACATTTATGATTTCGATGTGCCGTGGATAGTTTGATGAGTGAGAAATACTGTCAAAGAAAGCGATTAATTATTCTTGAAGAAATAAAACAAAAAGAAAAAGTTCAACTTTGTACGAGTATCGGAATATATTTTAAAGTGCTTCCTACATGGAAGAAAAAACGGCGTTCAAAACATTAGGGTTAAGCATCAAGTCAACGGAAAATTTCTCTTCAGAACAGTTTAACTAAAAGAAAAATGAACAGTCAACTTGTGATTCGTCCAACGCCGGAAGTTTTCAGATAATTTAAACCGTTCTTCCATTCATCACTGCCAATCCGGTTCATTCGGATCGGCTTCATTCAGGTAGCAACCGGATCGAGCACCTTCCGTCATCGTTTGTAGAATCTCTACTCGACTTCGAATATGTGCAGCACACACATCCATTTGCGCAACTGATGGCTGATCTGGCAGATCTTGACTGTACATCATGTGCAGAAGTGCGCTACGCCACGCAGGATTAACACTGTTGTCGACAGCTATATTTGAGACTCGACCACCTGCCACCAAAAGTCCAATCAGCAATGATTGGTTTTCACTGAAACCTCTGGCTTGAAAGAAAGCCTCAGCCAATGTATCTGCTTGATTGCGCACGATAATTTCGGAAATCAGTCGAGATCCAAGTAGGATATTGACACCACCGGAATTCGTACCACTCATGATTCCACGAAAGAAATCATAGAATGATGGGAATGAATTGGTATCATTGTTGAACAAATACAGATCGGTGTCATTTCGAAATAATTCATTGTACAGAGAAATACTTTCGGAGAAATTCGCACGTGGAACGAAGAATGCTATAGTGATTCTTCTATCACTGTTGTAGAAATATCCCGACCAGGCACCGTCCGATAAGGTCGGAATGAATCGAACAAAATCGTGAGTAAAACGTGCGTAACGTTCGTTGCTTTCTGCACTAACCCCGGTTATCATCGCGCTCATGGGAAGCGAAGGATGGATACGCAAGACAACGGAGAGAACTACGGCAAACGTTCTATCACCTTCGCCGCCTAATGCTCAGAATAGATCGAGATTTTCACAGGCACTCATCAATCTTCGTCGTCCATCAGCAGTCACCACTTCAAACTCCAGAACTTGATCAGCGGCTATACTTTTCCAATGCGTCAAGGGTCGGGTGTGGGTGTGGGTGTGGGTGTGGGTGTGGGTGTGGGTGTGGGTGTGGGTGTGGGTGTGGGTGTGGGTGTGGGTGTGGGTGTGGGTGTGGGTGTGNTCCAATGATACTCCCCGTTCAACGCCACATGTTGAGTATTGTGCACTAGCCTTAGTTTCATTGTAGTATGTTGCTTGTCCTTTAAATTTTCCTGTAAGTGATATTGGTTGACTTTGACTGCCTGATTTTTTATATGCACAATGAGCATTGACTCTAGCACAACTAGAAATATTAAAATAAAATCTTCTATCAAATACAAAATATGAATGAATTTGCATACTATCCATATTGTGTACAACAAAGACCAACACCACATGATGTAGTACCACAATTGCTATAAGAAACAGTAGCACAATAAACGCCTACAGTTCCGCATCTATACACAAAAAAGTAATAACATGTTAAAATGAATATTTAGTTCTTTCTATAGCATAAAAGCAGAAATCAGAGTTACTTACTGTCCTGTTGGTGAGCAGCACAAACCCGCTCGGCAACCTAAGAGACGACAATCATTAGCGACATATAATGGAGCTGACCATCCTAAGTGTGAAGAACCACTTCCACCACAGTATTGAACTCCTGTACCACAAACACCAAATGCCGAACAACACTGACTAACAGCACAATATTTGGTAAGCAAGCAGTTACCCGCTGAAACAAATTTTACGATTATTTATCAGTAGAAGCCATTTTTGTTTGGATCTTTTAAACTTACCAACATTGTTCACAAGTGAAACTACTAAGACACTCACATAACCAATCGCTAGCATTGTTGTATTTGAATGAATGTATTTTGGTTTTGAAATGATGATGATGATGATGATGATGATATTCAGTTATTTAAAACTGCAATTGTTGTTACTTTTTTCGTGCCTTTATATACATCTGTAATTTGCAATTAAATACTCATACATTACTAAGTATTCATATAAGAATATTGTCCTTGATGTCTACTTATCGATTGATATTTTAGATATGTCTAAAACATTGCCATTAATCCTATTGAAGGCCATCAATTTCGTCTCATTCTAATATAATTTCGTTTCTTTTCATTCTCAAAGTCAGTGCGAGTTTCTTATTTGAGTCAATTTGTATTTCTATAAATATACTCTTTATCTTTCATAATTACGTAGATAGAAGAAAAATGCCTAATATACCGTTCTAGCCGTGAAATTGAACTTCTTCGCCATAACAAAGTGATTCAGACAAAAAAGAATCATGGTCATCTCCTTTCTTTTTCGTTGTAACGTGTAATCAACGTGTCAAAGCTTTTCTTATATTGCATGATCGTTTAAATATTTTTGGACCTCAATATATGCTACATGATGAGTCTTGACAAATATCTAAAATCCTGATTTCTTCAGCAGAGATGTGAGTGCGGGTGAGTATGTGTTCGAAGCGAGAACCAGCATTTACATCTAGACGCCAATTTATTCATCGTTTCAATGCTTGATTCCTAGACATCAAACGTAGTTGATGAATGTCAATGGTCGAACTGGCAGAAACATTTAAGGATGTATCTGTTCAAACTTATTTCTGTTTTCGGAGAAAAGTCATCAACACTATTTAAATCGACTTTTTTCAATAATTAATTAGGGTGTGGGTGTGGGGTGTGGGTGTGAGGTATGGGTGTGAGGGTGTGGGTGTGGGTGTGGGTGTGGGTGTAGGGGCGGCATATTTACTTTTAGCTACTTTTGACGTCCTTTTTGGTGTTCAATGGTTTTCACAATAGTTTAATACATTTGATCAAATATTTTATTTGTTAAGTTGTAGATCTTGACTTCAGCTATAACTTTGCTCGCAACGTCATTTTTTGATATTGTTCATAGACTGGAGTATGAA